GAGAAAGACTATTCTCCAAGGAAAGACCAGAGTGATAGCTAAGTAGCTAACTCTCCAGAGCAACAATGGAGTATATTAAAATAACAGAACCTTTGCAGCTAACTACTGAGTCTCACTAGAGGACATTAAAACAAACAAACAAAAACTACTACAGACAGAAGAGAAAGGTTTCTAGATGAATGTCCAAGGTTGAGGGATGAATGATGGGCAGGAAAAGTGGTAAGTACGTGGTTAAATATAAGCAAACTGACTTTATAAAATGGTAATGCTTATAATGTCTTCTGGGTTAAAAAGGATATGGAATTAAAATGTAGGAGCTGGGTGGGGAAATGGAATGAGTGATCTAAGGTTCTATTATCTGTAAAAGGTAAGTATATTAATTAGATATGTGTATTGTAATATCTATAATCACTAAAGGAATAAAACAGGTATAATATCCAAACTAGTAGAGGAAAATAATAGAATAACAAAAAACAAATCCAATGGAAGATGAGATGAAAGTGACAAAAGAAAAAGTTATAAGACAAAAGAGCACAAAGAAAATATATGGATTTAAATCCAGATATATCAGTAATAACATTAATTATGAATGAATTAAATAATCCAGTTAAAAAGTTGCCAGACTGTATTTTTAAAAATTTTAGTTGTATGTTGTTAACAACAGACATATCTCAAACATAAGATAGCATAAAGGTTGAAAATAAAAGATAGGAAGAAGTACATGATATAAATACTAATGAAAAAAATGCTGGTATGGCATGTGAAATTCAGAAAAAAAAATTAAGATAGGAACCATTATTGGGAATTAAGAAAGGCATTTTATAATGATTAAAGTTTCCATTCACCAGGAAAATATAACAACTTTCTGTTTTGTTGTTTTTGTTGAGGTTTTCCAGTAAAAAAAAAGAAAACCTAGACAAATCCTAAAAGAGTTGTGACACAAACTTTATGTTTTAATGTACCCCATAACATGGCTTCAAAATATACAAAGTAGAAATTGAAAGAACTATAGGAGGTAGAGATTTTTTTAAAACATGGATTGCTTAATAACTATAGGAGAGAAGACAAAAGTCACTGGGATTCCGCAAGATTTGAATAAGAGAATTCATAAATTCACCTAATAGACATATGTAGAACAGTATACTCAACAACCTCAGAACCTAGATTCTTTTAAAGCATCGATGGAACATTTACAGAAATTGACTATACACTGGATGATAAACATGTACAATGAATTTTCAAATGACTGAACCATATGGAGTACATTCTTTTGCTACAGTACAATTTTACGAGGAATGAACAACAGAAAGATAACCAGAAAATCTCTGTCATTGGAAATTAAGAGATGTACTTCCAAATAAGCCCTGGGTCAAATAA